TTGCTACTATAATCCAATTATTTGTGTGGGTAGTCTTCAGGTTCATTAATAAAATAAAACTGTTGAGCAGATAAAACGAAGTTGAAGTCTTTCATCATCATCATCATCATCATCATCATCACCACCATCATCACCATCATTATCGTCATAATCATCATCACAGATATAAACACATATATATCTATCAATTAGGAAAATTAATGACAAAGTAGAAAAACTTTTTTGAGTCACGTATTTGACCCTTTAGGACCTCATCCGACGAAATGGAAATTTACGTTGTAGTAAATATACATGAGCACGAAGGAGAGGACACGCCGAATTTTTAAACTTTTTTTTTTTTGTTAGACGTTTATGGGTATATAGTCTAGCTGTTGCATAGCCCCTCATGCTGGGGTGCCAGTGCGCCAAATTGATAATAAAGTTGCATTCTTCTCTCGCGCCCGGTGATCGCTAGTTGATTTGAGTCCGGAAATAAAAGGACTTCAACACAGGGAATTTTAACTTAACTATTATATTAATTTCGTCGACGTCAACTATTTCTAATTATCCAGTGGGGTCCCTCACTCACTTTCAGACACGAAAGTAAACACGTCTACATTTCTTGACAGTTAACCTTGTCTATCGTTCTCACGCTGGCTCAATCAATCAACATCGACTTCCTTGTTTTGTCTTCCATCTGACCTCGACGGTCAACCTGAAGAAGTCCAATCATAGATATCATTCCCCCTAAAAATAACAGTCTCCTAAACTATTATTTAACAATTTCGTTTAGCTTCGTTTTGTCTTTGTTTATGTTTTTATTCTTTTTGTTGTTAAGTATCCCACATTATGCTTACTGAAGGTCTGTCAAGAAAGGTATTGAAATGTTGTAAGAACCTGGACAGAAATTTGCTGTGGAAGATCTAGCGATTAAAGCACTTTCTGTATGTTTTCGTCTTAGTAAATTTCTTTCTCTTTTAATTAAAGTGGCATTCTTAAAACTGAAATTGCAATCAGATTCATTATGGTGAGCAGCTAATACATTGAATGTGTTATTTTATTTTAAAAAAATCCCTATTTTAATGATCTTTTCTTCTAACTATCACTCTGTCGCTCTCTCGCTCTCTCCCCCCTCTGTGTGTGTGTGTGTGTGTGTGTGTGTGTGTGTGTGTGTGTGTGTGTGTGTGTGTGTGTGTGTATTCCCACGTTTTGGGATCATTAGCATAGCGGTGTATGGAAAAGGAAAGAGGTCAAAGATTTTCGATGTCGCAGTAGCGCAATAAAAATCCTATTGCCAAAAAAACAAAAAACAAGAGTGAAGTGCGTAAATAAACGCAATCAGGAATATAGTGGCTTTTTCACCTTTTGTCTTCTAACATGCAACAATAATAGCGAAAGATCTTACACCAAAGGAAGAAAGAAAACAATAGAAAATGCAACAATAATAACAGAAAAGGAAGCAAATGATTCAGTAACCGGTGAAATAAAAACAAATTGGAAAAATGTCTGAATCGACATCGTATTATAAGAAAATACAGCTTTGGCAACATGAAATATAAAATTTGGGAAATGATACAATTTGACGTGTAGGAAAAACTACAGAAAAATAAAAAGTAATTAATAAAGTGGAGGAAGATTTAGAATAGAGAAAGTCGCGAAGCGAAAAGAAAACGCCGGGAATGGAAAAGAAAAAAAAAGTGGGAAGGGGAAAGAAAAAGGCGGGAAGAGATACGAAGAAAGTGATAGATACAATTGAATAGGTTGAAAATTATAGGAAAAGACAATGGCTATATTCGTTGAAGATTGTCAAAATAGTAAAATAAAATATGGATAAAATATAAAAATGGAGAGAGAATGAAATATATAAGAAGAATGGAAAATTAAAACAAAGAAATGGAATAAATAGAAAGAAGCGGGCGTGGAAAAGGAATGAAGAATTTTGAGCGGAATGGCTAAGAAGGCGAGAAGCGATAGAAGAGAGATAACTAAGAAGAGTGAGTGAGAAGACGTTAGAAAGAAATGAAACGAATGAATGAATGAGAGAGTAGAAGGAGAATAAAGAAAAACAATGGCATGGAATACGAAGGAAAAATGAAAATAAAGATGGCGGCGTAGAAAATGAGAGAAGATAAAAAGAGAAACGATAGAGAGAAAGAGAGAATAAAATAAGTAAAATAAAAAGAATTAAAAAAAGAGTGGAAGCTAAAAAAAGTGGATGAAAAGATGAAGGAAAGAAAGTAAAAGACAAAGTAAAATTTTCGGACTAAAAAGAAATGTAAAAATATAGAAAGTAATAAAATAGAGAGAAAAAGAATGGGAATATAAACACATCAGTTCTACTTACCGGCGTCATCTGCAATGTTTAACTGAATTTTCATCGCATGAAAGCACTTTAACATCCATATCCTTCCATCCGCTTTTAGCTTTTTTTTTTTCTAAAGATCATTATGATTGCTCTCCTAAGCTATAGATACCTAAGGCGTCTGAGTCAGACATTATTCAGTGAAATAAGATTCATTTGAATGCAGTACCATAATTTTTCATGAATCAGCATTATTGATGTATAATACGCACATCATTATTCATGTACAATACGCATTCTTTCTAGATTTTTAAGACTAAAAGTTAAGTGTACGTATTATATACGATAACGTAATGTTATTGACAGTATTTGCATTCGGACTAATGTCTTAACATTTGTTATCATAACGATTCGGCCGTTGTACCCTCTGACCTTCATCAGGTGTATACCGATCCGATTAACCTACATGGAATTCTACAGGAGTCCTACAGGACAATAGCCTAGTGAGATGGTAAGTTCGGTCCCTGGGCCGGGCAGTATGCACTTGGAATCAGTGTAAACACGATAAACAATAACTGAGCAGTACTAAAAATAATTAGTAGATGATATATCCCTAGACATGGGGAGTGAAACGAGAACAATCTCCCCCCATTCCAAACTGTAAATTTAAAAAAGGGTTCAGTTCGGAATTCCCTGTAAGTAACCCGGAACGATATACACAAACCAAATGTGTAACAAGGCGTTTAAATCAACAAATGCTGAATTTGTTTTTAAATAAAATTATTCACCTAGACATTAAGAATATTTTAGTCTGCTTCCCAGTTACCAGTGTCAAAGAGAGACCTCATGAGAGTATGATCTCCAAGTCGTCGATGACATTCGATGCTGTCGTCTTCTACTGTGCCATCTAGTTCTTCTTCCTCAAAAAGGGATGCCTTCTTTAATGCAGTATTTTCCTAATATCTTTGTCTCGATAGTTTTCAGAGAAATAGTCACTAAAATCTGAAATTTGTTTGTTTATAATTTTTCTTTCTTCTAATGTGAGTTTATTTTCGCCGCAGGCATGTTGCATATTTGTGGGATCATCTCTCTCCTGTACGTTTATTCCATATTCTGTGTACAGTATATGTTTCAAAACTTAATAGAAACTGTATAAATTTTGATTATCAGTCGATACGAAACGGATAAAAGTCGGAAGAAATGTTAAATTTAGTTCTTAGGAATTCTTAAGATATGGTTTATTATACATGAGAGATCTTACAAAATTTTGTTGGGTGAGTATTATACACAAATAATTGCGTAATTCTTCTATTGCGTTGATACTAAGTTTAGCTTAGTTTAGCATAGTGCTAAATGGCGAGAATTGTCAGAAAAAATTAAATTTTTGTTTTACAGCAGTCTTTTAATGTCTGATCATAAATGAGTCAGACTGGGAGTGGGAATGAGATGTAGTAAGATTATGCAGCGTCAGTCTCTTAACTCTTGAAAGATGGCCTGTTTGGAACATGAATATTCAAAATCTTGATTTTGATCTGAGTTCAAACACTAACCAATGATGCATGGATTTAGTTGAGTCACCATGCAAGAATTTTGCTTTTTACAAAGCTTGCTGGATTCGTAGTTTGCATTGTGGATACTTACTTATTCTGGATTCTTTGAAACCTAGTGAGAAAGTTACGAATGGCCTGTGTGACGATCTAACTAGAATTACTTATCTCCCTACTATTGCGGGATGCGACACAAGGCCATTATTAATGAGTGATGCTTATACGCATATGAGTGAAGGAAAATCGCTTTTTCTCTCTCATTATTTCTCTTTATATATCCCCCTCTCTTCCACCTCTCCCTCTCTCTCTCTCTCTCTCTCTCTCTCTCTATCTATCTATCTATCTATCTATCTATCTATCTATCTCCCCAGTTGATATTTACTAAGCTTAAGACTCCCAAGGAAAAACAAATAACTTCCCCGTCCTTACGACTACTGTCATGCTGGTGTTGGTATCCACCAAACCTTTTTAGTACAACGAGGGAGATGCTGCGACCAGGTTGGAATCACTGGGACCAGGAATCACTCGAAGTTTTTCCGCGAACTGTCTTCAGACAGAAACATTGCAGAGAGTTGAAGAAAAGCTATTTACTCATTGGTATTTACTCATCTTCCCCGAGACGGTGACAGGATATAGTACAAGGCCGTTTTAAAGAAGGGAAATCAAGTCCGTGCACATGGGCCAAGTCCTAACATTGTCCGACCCCCGCGACTAACGTAATGATGGAGCCACTATTCCACCACCCCTCGATCTTTGGTGCAGTAATAGAGGTGCTGTAGCCGGGATGGAATCCCCGGGACAAAGCAACCCTTATTTATTTATTGTGTTCCGTCCAAAGACAAAATTCAATTGTGAGATAAAATGTAGTCCGCCCGAAGCCGGATGACATTTTAACTCTATGACCAGACAATACTGAACTGTTTTGCTTTTGTGGCTGAAATAGTTACACATGGATAGGTGTTCGAACGCAAACAAGAGCTGTGATTTCGATGAAATCTTGTGATAAGTTCAATAAATATCAAGTGACGGAAGAGAGTGATAGATGGAAATAAAGGGAGATATTGAAAGAGAAACTGAGAAAGATAGAGAGAGAAATAGAAAAAAGCGATTTGAAAGAATATAAACAGTAAGGTAATAGAGAGGCAAAAGTAAAGGATGAAACAAAGAGAAAATTAAATAGAAAGAAAGAAAGAAAGAAAGAAAGAAAGAAAGAGAGAAAGAAAGTGAGAAAGAAAATGAGAAAGAGAGCAGCTTTAGAAAAGAAATTATAGATCTCCAGTACGAGAAAGGGAGAAATTAATATACAAAGAAAGAAACAAACAAACAAGGAGAGAAAAAAAAAGAAAGAAAGAAAGAAAGAAAGAAAGAAAGAAAGAAAGAAAGAAAGAAAGAAAGAAAGAAAGATAAAAGAAAGCGAAAGAAAGAGAGCAGCGATAGAAAAGAAGCCGTAGATCTTCATTAGGAGAAAAAAAGCAAAGGAGACAAAGAGAATAAGGAATATTCTTAAAAAGAAAGAAAGAAAGAAAGAAAGAAAGAAAGAAAGAAAGAAAGAAAGAAAGAAAGAAAAAAAGAAAGAAAGAAAGAAAATGTGAAAAGGATCAACGATAGAAAAGGAGGTATAGATCTACATTAGGAGAAAAATGCAAAGCAGTGGTCAAAGACAGAAAGGCATATACTAAGAAAGAAAGAAAGAAAGAAAGAAAGAAAGAAAGAAAGAAAGAAAAGAAAAGAAAAGAAAAAAAAGAAAGAAGAAAGAAAGACGATAAGTAATTGAAAAGTTGGTTAATAGTTTAAAGGATTGGACAATAGAAAGATAAATTGAGAAAGAGAAAACGAAAGAAGCGATCGAAATGAAACAAAACTATTTTCTGTCGTCGGAAAATAGAGGGGACAGAGAATAGACAAAGAAATGGGAGAGAAAGAGATGGGAGAGGAAGAGAGATCTTGTAAGAGAAACTGAGAATTGAAAAGAAAAAGAGAGAAAAATGATCGAAAGAAGGAATTCCAGTAGAATAACTGAGTGGTAAAAGTAAAGGAGACAAAGAGAGCGAAAAGACATATATATATATATATATATATATATATATATATATATATATATATATATATATATATATATTTTCGTTCTCTTTATATATATACAAATTAAGTAAGAGGGAGGTACAAGATAAAATGAAAGACTTGGAAAAAATAAAAGATCAACCGAAAACTTCCGCGCCCTTCTCATTGTAGCACCAATTTCACGTTTGTCTCCATGTCCGCTAGCCCGGTTGCTCAAACATTTCTACTTAACCTCACGAACTTGGCAAGGTGTAAAATAAAACAAAATAACAACCTTGAATAAATGGGGGAAAATATTGAAGAATGATGGAGAAGTGAAGAAGAAGGTGGGGGGGTATATTTTGCCACCATCTCCCCGTTCTGTCTCCCCATTACCAGTTCCACTTTCTCAGCTGCTGTGCATAAAATGCTAACACCGTTACTCTGTCTAATACTGTTTATCTTCTAACCCAACCTTCCATAACCAGCAAATCTCACCTCTGTTTTCTTCTAACCCGTTGCATCTAGAATCGCTTATCTTCGAAAATAACAACAACAAAAAAAAAAAAGATGAAGAAAAAAGAAAAGAGATGCAGTAGGACAAGACAACGGAAAGTAAAAATAATGAAAACATTGATTAAAAATAATTTAAATTTTCTTCTTTATTTATTAGACTCTTAATTTATTTTCTTATGTTTCTGTCTCTTTCTTTCTTAAATGTCACTTTTTTCTTCTTTTATTCTTTATTTATTTATTTATCTATTTATTTCTTAACTGCTCTATTCTTTCATGATTTCCTGTTTTTTTTTAAAAAAATCTCTTTCTTTCTTCCTTCTTTCCTTTCTTTCTTTCTAGTTCTTTCTTTCTGTCTTCGTTTTATTTTTCTTTCTTTCTTTTGCTATTTTTCCTTTTTCTTTCTTTCTTTGTTTTCATTCTTTCTTTCTTTATAAAAATCATTTATTTTCTTACCTCACTTTTATTCATCCATTCATTCTTGCTTTCTATTACTTCCTCCTACCCTTTATTTATTATTTCACATACTCTCTTTTTTCATGACTTCTTTCTTAGTTCGTTTAATCTTTGTTTCATGACCACTATTTATTTTCTTACCACCCTTTCTGTCTGTCTTTCATTCTTTCTTCTGTCTTTCTTTATTCTTTTGTTCTTCCTTTTCTCTTTCTTTCTTAATCACTTACTTTATGTTCATATCATTTCTGTCTTTATTTCCTTTCTTTCTTTTTACTTTCTTAAGCCTTTTGTTTTTATCACATTTTCTTTCTTTTTTTTTACACCTTTATTTTCACATCTTTCTTTTCTTTCT